GAGGGGAGAGAATGTTTAAGGGCTGAGGATGTAGCTCACCAGAGAAGATACATGTACAGGCCCCTGGGTTCCTTAAAACAGACTTAAGAAACTAAGTCCATTCTCCCTTATCAGACCAAGAAGGAATCTAATGCCCAGGTAGATTAAGTGGTTTGCTTAAAGTCACACCGTTAATAAAATGGCTAAGCCGGGACTAATACAGAAAAGTACTGAATGAAACGGCTCCTTCGCTTTTCCTTTATAGCAGGTGGCAGGGCCTTTGCTGCCTATGCATTTCTTAGGAAACCACGTTCACTTCCTGCTCTAACCACTCTTCTGTTATGAGGAAATGGTAGGTTAAATGAGGAAATGGTAGGTTCTTTCCTCCAGGACCATTGGACTTATCGAGGGGTAAGGTATTAGGAAGAGTTGAATACTCATCCTTTCTAATAAATATCTGCCTAGAGAAACAAAAAAATACCAGCATGGAATAAACATTCAAACTGAGACGCCAACTGTAGAAAATCTAGCTTTAGAAAAACTCACAGCTTGACTTATTCCAAGTCTTGGAGGGAAGGCAAAAGCCAGTCTGGCACAACTCGTTCTTTAGTTTGCCGGACTCCGGTTAGGGTTGGCAAATGAATGAATGACAAATGATGCGGAATGAATGAATGAGTGGGTGAATGGCGCGGCTGTGCCCCTAGGGGCTGACTGTGGGGAGGTAGAGTCCTACCCGCTCTTCTCTTCCTAGGATGCTCCACCGAGATCTAGCTGCAGTGGGCGAGGACCGGCTGGGGAGGCGTGTCCCGGCTAACGACGGGGCCCCGGGGCGGCCCAAACCAGCCCGGGGACCCCCGTCCCCCCGCGGCCCCGCTCCACACCTCCCGTCCCCGTCGAGCCCGTTACCTCGGGGGGCTTTGTGGTCCAGAGGTCCTAAGACCCCAGAGGCAGCTCCCAGCCTCCGGGTAGGAGCCCCGAATGAAAACTGTTGGAACCTGAGGGCCTCTAGGACCCGGGGGAGGAGGGGAAGGGGGGAGAGGGGGGGAATACCCCGCCCCCCGCAGGTGAAGTTTACAACTGCCACTTCCGGGGGCTGAGGAAAGAAGGAACTTCCCTCACACACACCGTCTAGGACTTTCTCGGGCCTTCCAGGCTCCGCCCCGGTCTCACCCCCCCCTCCCCCCGGCCGTCGGGCCCGCCCTCGGCTCCCGCCGCCTGCCACCAGCCTCCCGCTTCCCGCTCCCGCCTCCCGCCGCCCTCTGCCGGCGGCTCCGGGATGCGTACTCGGAGAACGCCGGGCTCTGATTGGGAGAGCTCGCCCGCGAAGCCGCGCGCCTTCGCCCGGGCCGGCGCATGCGCTGTTGCTGGGGAGGGGAAAGGGGGGGGGGGAGGAGGCACCGACGCGCGTGCACGGGGCGCGCACGCGCGCGCGTTCCCGCACCAGGCGCTCCTCCTCCCGGCGCCTGCGTTCGCGCTCGCGCTGCCGTGGCTCCGCAGGGGGGTTCTCGGGTCACGGAGACTCTCCTGCTTTGCTGAGCCCAATGGGAGCGCAGCTTCCCGCTCCTCACCCCCTTTGCCAGCCGACCGAGTAAGCCTCCCCGAGGCCAGAACCCAGCTTGTGCACCTTTACCCCAGCGGGCGAGCCCGGGGCGCCCCGACCCCCACCGCGCGCTGGGCGGGGCTCAGGGCCTCCAGGGACTTCTCTGGGGGGCTGCCGCACAGGTGGCTGTGTTTCTCTCGCTCTAGTCCCCTCCTCCCATCCTCTTTGTATCCCAGTTTGAGGTGGGGAGGAGATAAACGGGGTTGGGAGCATGCAGGTCGATGCAGTGCATCTGTTGACGCTCCTGTTGTTATAAATAGTGTGTAACAGATCTCGATCTCTCTCTCACACACACACACACACCTCCATAATGTGTACAGTACTCTGATTTCTCTTGTTAGCTGCTTCACAATCTGCCGCTGCTTTGGGGAGATTGGAAAACCAAATCCTCTTTTGTTCCTTGGCTTTTGAAAGCCTATTCCCCAAAGAACAATGCAAATTGGCAGGATTTTGATTAAGGATTGTAGGCTCCTTTCCAAAAAGGTGTTTAACACAAAAAAGCCTTTGATGTTAAACTAGTCCCGTGTCGATTGTCTTCAACCTGAAACCAAGGTGTAGGGGTCGACTTTCCCCAGCTCTCCCTCTGGAAAGGCAATGGTCATAAATGCAAATATAAATTGAGATTAAAACCTCCTTGATTCTTGTGTCTCTGAAACCTTAATTGGTATCAGTTTAGTCATTTAGATTTAAAAGGAAGATTGTCTCTGCTTCCTAATACTTTGGCTAGAAAGAGGATAATTGCTTCAAAAGAAAGAGGCTTAAGGAAAAAAAAGAATTAATCAGCTCCAACATTTACAAATGTAATGGAAAAATACATAAAGCTAGTAAGATTAGAGCTCTTTTTACAAGCTCTAAATAATATTTTGTAATTCCTTATGTAAGTTTTAATAGCATTATAAAAAGGTGTAGCAAGAACAAATGGTAAATGTACATTTTTAAATGAAAAATTAGTTCAGGGCTGGGAATGTGACTTAGTGGTAGAGTAATTGCCTAGCATGCATGAAGCCCTGGGTTTGCTACCTCAGTACCACAAAAACAGAAAAAGCCAAAAATGGTGCTCTGGGTCAAGTGGTAGAGTGCCATCCTTGAGCAAAAGAAGCTCAGGGACAGTGCCCAGGCCCTGAGTTCAAGCCCCAGGACTGGCAAAAAAAAAAGACAAGGAAGGCAGAAGGGTGGGTATAATGTGAAAGCTTGAAATCTGTTTATTCGATCATTTAGTATCTACAGAATACAGAGTATCCAACATGGAAAGACCTAATAGAAATACTAAAGAGAAATGTTTATATCAAGCCTGAACTCCTAGAAAGAAGTTATAGAGAACTTTCAATTTTATCTGGGAAGACAGTTGTAGACTCAAAGAAACTGGAAGAAAGACATGGAAGATACAGATATAAACACAGAAAACAGCAGAAGGCTGTAGAAGTAGAAACTGTGTGCATGAGGGGGCAAAGAAGATTGAGACCAGATGGAAAAATAATGCAAAACCCATTCACAGGACCTTTTAGATTTACTAAAAACTGTACTAATAATAAAAAAAAAAATCAGGGTCTGGGAAGGTGGCTCAGTGGTAGAGTGCTTGCCTTGCATGCATGAGGCCCTGGGTTCAATTCCTCAGCACCACATAAGCAAAAAGAAAAAAG